GAGCGACATCGCTTTTAAAACTGCACAAAACTGCTGGAAATACAAAAAACCAGACTGACCAGTCTGAGGCCACTCCTATGGATCATGTCTTGGACCAACATCCTCTTCGCTCTGCTCACCGTGTCTGCTGAGTGAAAACGATCTTAAATAAAAAACATTAAGTAATAACGATGGTGACCAGAGACAAAATATGAATGTTTGAAGGTCTTCCTCAGAAATCGATGTCCTTTAGAAGGCAACGAGGCATCAGTAGATCAGATCGGCTCCAATCCGCTCCTGCCTCGCCAAACGAGGAACCTTTAGTTTCACCGCCGTCGTTTTGTAAAGTTAACTCCTGAAACGTTCCACAGAGTTCATAATCGATGGTTAAAGTCGGTTCTCTAAGATTTCTCTCACGATCGTCAACTTTGGTCTCAGACGGGTCTGAAGCCCTCAGTGTGCCGGTCCTCCTCGTTACAAGTATTCAAAGCTGTTTTCTACATTTCACCTTCAGGTCTCTGTGACGGTCCAAGATGTTCATGCTGTGTATTTGCTGCTTCACCATATTATATTTTTATATTTGATTTGGACCCGTTTGACAGGTGTGAGCTTTTTTTTTTATCTGAGTTGAAGATGCACTGATAAAATGTCTTTAATGTGGAGATCATTAAAGCTGAACACAGACGATGAGAAACACTCGACCAATCATCTGCTGAGATTCATCCGCTTCTTTTAAGATTTCTATCGTTGAACTTTTGATATGACGGGTTCTTTATCGGTGCATCTTTTCTTCTTTGACCCTGAAGGTTTTTTTTTTCTGCCTTGAAGTTTGGTGTTGAACCAGAAAAAATCTGTTCATTTGTTGCGACTTTCATCATCATGTTTCCATCTGAAAAGACACAAACCATGAAGACAGATTTCTTCTGGTTCCACGGCTGGCGACAGCAGAGCGTTTACATGATTTATTTAAGCTTGTGTGTTTTTTCTGATGCTTGTTGATGCTTTTCTCACTGATGCTAAATGTTCTGATGTAAGGCCGTTTGTCCACTGGGACGGAAAGTATTCTGCTGATCCATGAATGTTTTTGGAGGCTGGAAGAGTTTGTTACCTGAAGAAAGCTGGAAGGGGAAACTCATTGAACGGTCTAAAATGTAAGAGAAATTCAATATCCTAAATATCACAAACCAGCAAGGCTGCAGTTCAACATGTTCTCTGTCAAGAGACACAGCAGAGGGGAGATTATCTCTTTGATTGCTTTAATCTGACGTAGTGGAGTTCCCTCAGACCCAGACGTTACTAAAATATTGAGTCCTGGCGAATGGGATGGTCATGAGGTCATGGTGACCGTGGCGTTTAGACTGCGGCCTCTAAAATGGGAGAGTCCAACTGGACGGAGGGGTGTCACAATAACAGATTTTAAACTTCAATGTGACTC